TGTGTTCTGGGATGGTTGAAGATATGGTGTGAATTACCATCTTCATTTCTCATCACTGTGCACATTGATCAGCAGCTACTGATGTTAACAGTATAACTCTAGTGCTGCTAGTCCTTAGGCCTCTGCTTAAACTTAATGCTTCAGCAGAGAAGCAGAAACATGCAAAGCTGTAAAAGTATTTCTTTCAGTGCATTTTATTTTACTCTATTGAAATTTTGTTCTTCTGAAGTCGCAGTACTAATGTTGAAGTATGAATAATATTTTCTTTGTTAATAGCTTCAAAGTAGAAGGAATTATAGAATATCCTGAGTTGAAAGGGACTCACAAGGATCATCAAGCCCAACTCCTGGCTTTAAGCAGGACAATCCAAAAATCAGACAATATGACTGAGATTGCTGTCCAAACACTTTTTGAACACAGGTTGGTGCTGTGACCACTGCCCTGGGCAGCCTGTTCCAGTGCCCAGCACAGTCTGGTGAAGAACCTTTTCCAGATATCCAACATGAACCTCCCGAAAATGTTTGACATAGACATTTTTGTAGTCCAGAGTAAATCTCTGGAGTCTGATGTAAGATTAGAGGTATGAGACAGGTGAAAGTCATGATTAACTGTAATTAAAATGTCACAGGCTTTTCACTGACTTTAAAAATAAATGATCTAGCTGAAAACAAGATTAAGTATCTAAGTAACTTTCCAGTGATGAATCACAATGAGCTAATCCTTTCTGAGATCAAAAGAATGAAACAAACAAAAAACCAAACAAACAGAAGTGAACAGGACAGGAATAAAAAGTGGAAAGTCTGAATATATCTAGCCAAAAGAATGGGGAACAAAATTTTACATAACATTTATTTTGAGTTTTAGTTCTTTATAATAAGGAAAAAAATACAGAATTATTTTGTTTTCCCTCCCAAGTGGGGTTTCTTAACTTCATCAATTCTCTGCTGCAGAATTGCAGTTTAGTTGCTAAATCCTTTAAATCTTTAAAGAATCTGGTTTGCACTCATTCATGCCTTAATGTATTTACTTTCCAGAAATACATTGCATGATTATGTTTTTTAAAATATGTGTGCTTATTTTTTTTCTCTCTTTATGTCTAATGGACCTGAACCAACTGGAAATATGTGTAGTCACAAAATATGATGAGATCTCATTATACCAAAAAATGATACAAGGAGGGTTTCAAACGTGGAGCTTTTATATTTTACTAAGCAAAGAAAAATGTGGCTCCCTCGAGTGCTGTCTCCGCCTACTGCTTTCTCTTCAGGAGGAGCAATGACAGGACTGCAGTGGAGGCAGAGCGGACAGCAGCAGCTTAGACCAGAATGAGCAGAGGGCAGGGGAAGTCTTTTTATCAGGAGCAATAGTACATTTTTAAAGCATTTCTGAAAAGTTGACATGGTGTGACACCTTGTGTTGTGTGCATGCGGGGGCGAAGATGTGCGGGTGTGCCTTTTTTCCATAGAAATATTTCTCAGAACAGGAGGTGCTCATCCCACACGTACCAGGCTGAAAGCAAAGAAACTGTGTTCAGAAAGATGCTAAATAAAGCAAGTGCTTAAGCAGAGGAGAAGGAAGATGAAAGAACAGTTCTAATGTGGATGTCAGAATAAGAATGGGACAATTGTTTAGAACAAAAGCCTAAAACGTTTCAGTGTACTTGGAAAATTGAATTAGAAATATATAGGCCTGGTTCTCCACTGCTTGTCATTACATAATCAAGTTTTGCACAGTACCATACTGTAAGGATGAAAGTGATTTATATCTTTCATCAGGAGTGCAAATGCCTGAACTTTGCTTCATACTGCCAGGTAAAATATGCAAGCAAAGCAAAGAATTAAAATCTATCACAATGTTTGTGAAAATAACTATGATAGAGTGTATAGTGACTAAGAATATAAAAAAATCTTCCTATTTTAGTTTGGCTGTTCCTACATAGTTCTCTTAACTTTTAACAAGGCAAAAGTAAATGGCCTCAAGTTGCACCACGGAAGGTTCAGGTTGTATATTAAGAAAACATCTCTTCTCAGAAAGAGCAGTGAGGCAGTGGCACAGACTGCCCAGGGAAGCAGTGGAGTCACGGTTCAAGAAACATGGGGATGTGGCACTAATGGACATGGTTAGTGGACATGGTGGAGATGGACTGATGGTTGGACTGGATGGCATTAGTGGTCTTTTCCAACCTACATAATTTTAGGATTCTGTGATTATTAGCATTGTGTACTGAATATTTTCACTGAAGTTGCAAGGCAACATCAGCTTTGTAATGTACAGGTTGCGGAACACAATAATATATAGTAGTATTGCACATTATTAGGAAGCTGAGATATTGTTGAACAAATGTAACACAGCTAATGAATTGAAAGAACACATACTCATGATTGTGATTTTCTTGATTTTTTGATTCACAGTTCACCAGATGTGTAATATGTATTCTAGTAAATGTATAGCAGGGCAGTGGGGAAGAAGGCCATTTTTATGTACTCCTTGATGCTGCCTTTTTGGATCAGGTATAATTTCTCTGGAAGGAGGGAGGTACATAGTCACAGGTATACATTATAATTTCTCTAATAAGAATATTTAGATATAAGAAGCACCTTGGCATTGGGGTGACATTGGCAGGAAATGAGTAGGACAGCAAGCACACACACAGGAGCAGATGAGGATGCATGGAGGCTTCAAAGGAATAGCAGCAGTAGGGCTTGCACATTAGAAGTATTAAGGTTGCACAGTGAATAAGACAAATATACACATTATTTGTTAAGCAGGCAGTTATTGGAAGCCAGTGGAAAGCGAGAAAGGATCTAACCTGTTAGAATATGATGGTCAAAAGAGAGATGTGATATCAATTCCCTTTTTATTTATTAATTTTCCCTAGCTGATCAGAATCTGCTCTCTGTCTAAAAAATCAAAATAAAATAAAATTTTATAGTGGCTTCAGGAACTTGACATTTTTAAATGTCAAGTACCGTTGTATGAATAATACTTCTCTGAGTAAATTCTTAGAATAATAGAATTGTTTGAGTTGGAAGAGACTTTAAAGACCATCTAGTCCAACTCTCCTGCAATGAACAGGGACATGCACAGCTAGATCAGGTTGCTCAGCATCTGATCTAGCCTGGCCTTGAGTGTCTTCAGACATGGGACATCCACTACATCCCTGGGCAGCGTTTTCCAGTGCCTCACCACTTTCACTGTAAAACACTTTTTCCTTATTATATCCAGTCTAAACCTCGCCTCTTCTAGTTTGGAATCATTTCCCCTTGTCCTGTCACAGCAGACCCTGCTGAAGAGTCTGTTCCTTCCCTTCTTGCAGCCCCCTTTAGGTACTGAAAGGCAGCTATCAGTTCTCCCTGTAGCCTTCTCTTCTCCAGGCTGAACAGCCCCAGATATCAGCCTGAGTTATGTCTTCTTTTCGGTTTAATGAATTTCTTTCTTTTCTGTCCTTGTCTATCATTAACTTTCTGTCTCCTTCATTGCAGTCTTCATGGATCTTCAGGTTCTTTATTCATTTTTTTCTTTTTTTTTAGGTAAACTCATTAGACATGGTTCCTTTTCTCTTTCAGCATCTCAATATTTCAATCTTTCTAGTCTCCAAAGACAGAAAGAATGTAATTTTTCTGTTCTGTGTTCCATTGATAAATTATTAAAAACTGTAGGCTAGACATTTTCATTCCTATTTTTCATTGTTTCATGGAGACCAGGCAAGTGTCAGAAGTCAGACTGCCACAGTGAAACTTTCATCCTGCCAATATGAATGGAATCATTTGTTCCTAGGTTTAGGGTGGTATTCTTGCCCACATGAAATCCTGCAATCTTTTGCAGCTGGCTTAGAGGCTAAGTAGGTCACCCCATACTGGTGATTTCTCCAGCACCTCAACCAGCATTCCAATTAATACAATCAAACCAGCATTTTTGCTCCTATATTTATAATAAAAATATTATACCAAATATGATCTAAATTTAGCTCAGTCCCACAGTTTTATGTTCCATCCAGACTGTTGCTGCAACCATCCAATGCCATGAATCTGGCTATAAATTCATATTAAGATTTTTTTTTTCTTTGCTTGGTTTGTTAACTGATTTTCATTCATTTAATGAATATCATTTTTCCTATGCAATTTTCTTAATTCTCCTTCATGAATTGCAGTTGTTACCTTACATAACAGAAAGCACACAAGTATATATTAGTGATATTTTTTGACATAAAGACGTAAATAAAATACAGAATCTCACTGAACAGTTTGAAAGATCAGACCTTTTACAGTGTACAAAAAGCAGTGGGGTCATTAATCTTATTCAACACCAAAGTCTTCAAAAAGATGATAGTGCTAGTCCTAACTGTGAAAAATATGCATTACAAATATTGCATTCTAGAAGCCATGTGTGGTTGAGTCTCTGAATACCAGAAACATTGACAAATTTGCTTTGGAAGTTTTTTCAGTGTTTATTTGGTGTGTAAAGAGTGAATTCTATTACTAAAAATAGAAACTCAGAAAAAGGAAATTTCAGTCTAAATGATTTAAAATATAATACATCTATGATCTGTATATGGCTGTAATCTTAACTTTATCTGTAAGTCTCCGTTCAAATAGCCTGGCTGTTGTACAGACTTCTCCTGAGTACAGGAGTGTTTAAGAATATTTTTCATCTTAAATGGTGAGATTTTTGAATGAGAGTTTATAGGCCGGAATGTGATGTAATATAATTTGCTAATACATGTCCTCAAGGGCACATCAAACTATTTTAGTTTTATAAGCAATGAAGTGAAGGCAGAATAAGAATATCACAAGTTTTATGTGACTGATCCCATAATTTACATTGTTGAATATTTGCTTAAACTGTTAATATATTCAAAATTTATAGAAATAGCCTTCTTGAAATGTCAGCACAACCTCACAGTTCCATTAAAGCTGGTTGGGCTAGAAAAATATTGAAATATACTCATATGTAGGCATAAATAACAGTGGGCTTTTTTCCTGTTTTTGTTTGTTTTTCAGCAGATGCTTCTGAAATACCTGAGAGACAAAGTAATCTGATGTTTGCCAAGCCAGGAGGAAGTGTCACTTTTACTTGCCCTTACGATATTGGAGGTTTGGTGCAGCAAGTGAAATGGGAAAGGATTAAAGCAGGTGGGACGGATACCATTGTCCTGTGTAACTCAGGAGGAGAGCGAAGATTTGGTTCAGATTTCATAAAACGTGCACTGGTGGATTGCTCTGGTCAGGCAAGCTCAACGATTGTCATTCAAAACATCACAGCTTCCGACTTCGCAAAGTACCGCTGCATGGCTACTGGAAGAAATAAAACCTTTGAGATGAGTTTCACTGTGGTTGGTAAGTAAAGAAGGTAGTGGTAAATGTTTTCAGGACCTTCTGAGGCATTAGCATCTTCACCCATAACAAATAACACTCCGGTAACAAATGATAGTTTATTCAAATGCCACATTCAAATTAGCAGTGTGAGAAAGATGACAAAGTTAACAATCAGTCTGGTTTCCATGGAAATAAGCTGGTTTAGCTTGTCTAATGTCATAACAGGACTTCAGATCTGTTTGTGAGAAGCTGATTTGATGATAGGAAGGAGACTCTTTGAAAGAGGAGACTGCAGAGTTTGCAAGAGAAGAACACTGATCTCCTGAAGACATGGGGCGGTCCCTATTAATACAGTGTACTGCAGGGTGTGAACCTTGGTCCTAGGTCAGAGACCTGTCTTCCAGTGGGAACTAAGAGCAAACTTCACAGAATCACAGAATCACAGAATTGTAGGGGTTGGAAGGGACCTCCAGAGATCATCGAGTCCAACCCCCCTGCCAAAGCAGGTTCCCTACACCAGGTCGCACAGGTAGGCATCCAGGCAGGTCTTGAACATCTCCAGAGAAGGAGACTCCACCACCTCCCTGGGCAGCCTGTTCCAGTGCTCCGTCACCCTCACTGTAAAGAAGTTCTTGCGCATGTTTGTGCGGAACTTCCTATGCTGCAGAACTTCTGTTGTAAATGTAGAATCTGTAGAATGGACTGTGCTTTGTTCAAGTAAGGAATTTCCATAGCGGGAGCTGAATAATTCTTCAGGTTTTGCTGGGACTATTTTCACAGTTTGATTATAATAGGAGCTTTGGTCTCCATACACAGACAGATAAAATTAGATTGCTCAAACTGTGAGCTAAATCCCACTTTTAGTTCTATGTTCTGTTATGACTGTAAAAACAGTTCAGTTTTAGTTCTTCTGTGTAGAAGAACTTTTTCTCCTTTTGAAAACAGAGTTCTTGTACCACCCCAGCCCTTCTTCTCCTGTTGTAGCATTCAGGCCAGCTCTCTGCTGTCTTTGGTACTGCCTTTGTTAGTGTTAATAAATGAATGCTGGCAGACATCTGTTTGGCAGCATGTAGAGCTGTGGCGTGCAGTATAGAGCTTCAGAATATGCTTCATCTCAGATACATGTATTGAGAATGCACTCAGGAAGAAAAAGTTGATATATTTTACTCTGAACACTTGACCACGAAAGTCCATGAAAATGAACAAAATGTGATGAAGCATCAGGCAAATAATTTCTCTCACCTCTAAATTTTTTTAACATTCAATTTTCAAAATATTGACTATATTCACATAATTAAGCATTTACAATTTGTATAGCAATTAAAATATTTTGTTTGCTCCAAACAAAGTGTTTCTTGTACCAAACCTAAATCAAATAATGAGTTGCCAAACAGCCTCAACTTTAAGACCTACCTATGCAAATTCTTTCTAGTTAAAAACAAAACAAAGCAAAAAATAAAGATATTGCCTGTTTTGATCTTGAAGAAAATTCTATTTATCACAGCTGGTTTTAACACCAGCATAGTTATGCGTTACTGTTGGAGAAAAAAGGTATGAAACCACTGAAGAAGCTCAAATGTGATTCAGAAAACAGTCCTCCTCTAAAACACTCTACATTTTGATACACTTTATTTTGCTTTTTTTTTGTTATTCCAAAAGAAGTGAAGCATCAAAGATTTCCAATTGTTTGCCTTTAATGTTTAGATATGTTTCATAATGCATGACTAATAGTTCCATGGGGATATGGAGAAATGCTAAGAGGAAAGCAGAGAGAGGCCAGTTGTCGGCTCCCACAGACCCTGTGAATAACTTCACTCAGAGTTTCTTACTCTGCTTTGGTGTAGTTTTAATGAAAGAGTGATGACAGAAGCTAGATGTGCTAATTTTTGTATATGCTCTATCAGTTCAGACACTTCATTTTCCTCGGGTAAGTGTTACAGCTAAGCCACAGTCTAGGCTTGGATTTGGTACCAAACTCTTCCAATGATTTTATTCTGTTGATGTAATTCTGCATGGGTACTGCAAATCTTCTTACCTTGGCCAGTGACAGAGACATTCAGAAATACAGAGTCTAGGAGCCGGCAGAATAGTTGCGCTGTGAATAATAATAGGGAGAACTCTGTTTTGGTTGAGAGAGAGTAAGAGGAAAAATAATAAACTTCTTGTGTTTATTTTAAGAGAAGCTGTGTATTTAAAGATTCTAAGAATTTCTGAAGAGGAAGAAACTTGTAGGAAAGGAGATATAAAGTAAGGACAAGAGATTATCTGCAGAAATGATAATAATTCTAAAACCACAGATTCTGAGAGGTTACACAGTAGAAAAATGAAGCTTGCTTCTTGTCTGAAGGTGGAAGTATTATTGCAAGGAGAAATAACATGAAATTCCTGTGAAGAAAAGAAGAGGAATGTAAGAGAACAGATATTTAGGTATGGGAAAAGCCTTGGCTGCTCTTGCAGTTGCGTCAGTAGAAGTCAGCATGCTTCATTTAATGTTTTTCATCATCATTGAAAACAAAACCGTGGGATCTGTTCAGTATCATTGCCAGCTCTTTCCCACCAAATATTGTTATTTTTGTTTAATAGTAACAGAATTTCCAGCTGAAATGGCAGTTCTACAAATCTGTTTTTGACCTTAAAACCTAGAAAACATAAAGTAACATATATGTAAATCAGTGTGGATTTGCCAAACAACAGCTGCAGAAACAGAAGGCTGAGTATTACATAATTATGTAACATGTTCAAGAGATTTAAGATTAATTTCTGTATGCTCCTCACTGTTCTGCTGTTTCTGAAAATTCTGCTAATATGGTCATGTCACCAGATTTCACATCTGAACCAATCTTTAATTTTTACTTACCCCATTTTTCCCTCTGATTAATTCTTTTCAGCGAGTTTCTGAAGGAAAGAAGCAGATTTGTTATAATTTTGTTTTGGTATATAAATAGGTATTCATAGGTACATTGGTATATAAAAGAAAGGGAGAATGAAAGAAATTGAAAACATGGAAGAAACTGTTATTTCATCCTGAAGACCTAAATGTTGTGGAAAGATTTAATTTCAAAATGAAAATTTACAGGCTTTGAACACCTTTCTCTGGCAGCAGCCACAGAATTGGGCTGACATCTGAGCTCAATGTGTGCAAATGCGGAGGCTTGCAGCACAAATGCACCTTTTGGTATTGGCAGGAGATGAAAGAAAAAAGGCATAGTGAAGTCACATTTTTCCCTACTGATTTACTTGTGTTATGGATAGACTTTAAAATGCCACTTCAGCTGTTTCAGGTGGCTGGGTAAGGCTCTGCAGTCGTTTCTGGGCCACCAGAGACAGTGCCAGCTGGGCAGCCCCTGGGACTACCTTCTGTGCAGTTTGAGACCTGGTGATCTGTGCATGAGGATGATGGATTGAATTTGGGTTGTACCAGTGAGACGTGAGTTAATGATGTAAGGAAGGTCTGTGCCGATTTTTTTTTCTTTCTGGTTTTGGCTTTGTTCATACTTTTTTTATTGTTACAATTTACTATCATTTTGAACCCACCTATTTTGCGTGAAAACTACTGTAAAACACAAAAGCCTTATATGATTGAGCTCTATGCAGAATCTGTGTAGTAACTAATGCCTAAAATGGCTGATAGGAAGCTGCTTCAGTTTCAGAGCACTACCAAATTTTCTCCAGTGTATTTTAGCTATAAAAGAGACTTTTCACCTTGGGAACTACTTCCTGATGCCTTCAGTTTTAAAGAACAGGAAGCAAATAATCACAAAGATAACAGGTCAGCATAAGGCAAATCCAGCATTTAGAAAAAAATGGCAGATGAAATGAAAAGCAGGGCAGCCCTTGTACAGTCACAGCGGGTTATCACACAATCCTTCCAAGCTGGGAGAAAGCAGCAGTACTTCTGTGCCACAGAAAATGGACACAACATAATGCTGTTGTAGTGGGTGAGGAGAATCAAAGTATGAGTGAAATTAGCTTCCTTCTTCATACATGAATTCTTCCTGTATGCATGCAAGATATCAGTCTTTGTCTGTGGATCTCTACTCAAAAAAGCACTTTTCTCTGAACATAAATGCAGTCACTCTGGATTTCTATCTTTCACTTGCGGGCAAAATTATTTCAGTGATGTCTAGTTACATAGCTTACGTGCCAGATCAGCAAGGCATGTGACAAGCTACATGTAGATATTCACAGTGCAGTTAAAATCTCTTGTTAGGACAAATAAATGTCTGCCCCACCAGTACTTTCTCCTCAAAACCAAAGCACTAAAGTCTTTGCACAGAAAAGTTTCAGAGTCTTGTAGAGAAAATGCCAAGGCTACAAAGCTATTGAGGGAGCAAATATTGTCTAATAATGGGAATTTTACTCAAATCAACATATTGCCTTTGATGAGAACACAAGAGCTAAAGAGACACATGGCAAACCTGTGACGTGTTTCTTCAAAACCTAGAATGTTATGTTAAAGTTGTTAATTATAATAGATTTTGTATTGTTAACAAAAACAGCTGCCTCAGGAAAGGTTTACTTATTAAGATTAGAAAAGGCAAAAGGTCTTTTGAGTTGTTATTGCTTCCAAAAAAAATCTAATGACTTCTCTCATCCAAATTGAACTGACAGCTGATAATCCCAGTTCTCAAACTCATTCAGTCATAGATTGTTATCTTGACCTGATAAACTGAAGGTGAAATACCATGAAAAGAAAAAAATGAAGTCTGGAGGGATTGGACTGCAGGATGGAGACATTGCTGAAGTCTGGAATTCTATCCGCATTCACCCACCCAAAATGATAATTAAACATACAATTTTAAACAGAGTACCAAAAATTTCTTTGTTGCTTACAGAGTGTTTTCTCCTTATTCCTGTAAGTATTCATTGGCACAGATGAAGATTTTCTGTGGCAAGTAGCCAAGAACTTGAAAAAAATATTTTTTCTTGGAGCTGGACATATGCATATGCACTATTCTGTCATTTCAAGCATGTAGACATTGAAAACATGCTGGAAGTAGAGTGTCTGCATTTTGTAGTTGTAATGACAGAAGTCATTAGTTTGCGTAATCAGGTAGCATTCTCTATTGTGTCACATACCTTCAGCAGCGTAAACTTTTGAGAGAGTAAGTAATATTGGAATCCAGTGATAAGATTCATGTGTATTCAGTATTTTTTTGTTATCCTTTCCAATGAGCACATTAATACTAAACAGGCATACCTGAGCTGATTTCAATAGGTAGTTTGATCCAGGAGAAAAGCCAACTGATGGCTCAGCAGATGGTTTGCTGAGATTATTGTCATTACCAATACTGATTCTTTTTCATTTGTCTTTGAATTAAGGATATAGTTTTCTAGTCTACCCAGAATTACAGCTCTTTGGAGCAGCTGTGGTTTCATCTTCAACTGCTCTTTCTCTCTACATTGTCTAGAACACTAAAGAGAGCTAACCTAAGTAGTTATTGCTCACCAATAACTTGTTAGTTTCTATCTGAAACACACAGAACAACTTTGTGTCCATAAGATATGTTCGCTGTTTTGCATTAGGTAATACAAAACAGCACCCTATGACTTCTTTATACTGACGTTTCCCTTTTTATTGTAGAATCACAGAATATCCCAAGTTGGAAGGAACCCATAAAGATCAATCAGTCCTGCTCCTGGCTCCATGCAGGACCACCCAAAATACAAACCCTGTATCTGAAAGTGTTGTCCAAATGCTCCTTGAACTCGGGCAGCCTGGCGCTGTCGTCTTTTCCATGCTTGATCATCGTCTGGTGCAGACCCTTTCCCTGACCCCCAGCTGCCCCTCCCTTGACGCAGCTCCATGCCATTCCCTCGGGCCCTGTCGCTGTCACACAGAGCAGAGCTCAGCGCTGCCCCTCCACTCCCTGTGAGGAGCTGCAGCCGTCATCAAGCCTCCTCTCAGCCTTCTTTTTCCATCCAGAAGCATCCTCACCTTTTCGTATGCCTTGCTTTGTTTTATTACTACATGTTGAGAAACTGAAGAACATGCAGGAAATATTTATTCAGTACATATTTGGACAGACTCACGCTCTCATCAAAACGGTGCTATCACATAAGCTCACTGGAGTTTGCTAGAAGTTTGATGTTATTAGAAGTTGGTAAAACCACCTGACAAAGATATTTGCGGCTACTGCTAGTCACAAATACACTGCATACCGTGTTTATTACTTTCTATTTGTGATTGCTTGTTTTTTGTGCTGTTTACTCTCAAGTTTGCAGACAGCTAGCACAGAGACGCAACAGAAGCAGGAAATAGCACACTGTGGTGGGCTGCAAAAAGCTGAGTTAGAATTCTGTGGTTTGACATACTTTTTTTTCTTCTTCTTTTTAAGGATAGCAATAGATGATGATAAAAATCATACATATTTTAAACAAATAACTATGTTGAGGACTAGAATTGTGGACTTGCTATGTGACTTTGAGCATATTACTTCTCCAGCTCTTTTCACTTGAAAGAATGACTCCCTCATGTTCATGGTGACCCTCTCATTATTACATGTTGATCTGCAGATTTATTTGAAGAAGTGATTCCATATTGGAGAAGACTATGCATTTGCAAAGCTCAAACTACAATAAATGTAACTTTCCCTTTCTCAGTTTTGATTCTCAAAGAAATAATTTTTGCTAATGCTGGAACAAATAGGGTTGACATCCATCACCAAATTATTTGCAGTACAGGGCTATAAAAAATTGATCACAACGGAAGAATTTCTTGTGGAAATATTTTTATTAAAAAATGAACAGATTTTGTTTTGAATCAGAGTTGAAAATAACTGATAAAAGTGTGAAGCACTGAATTCTGGGGCTGAGAAATTGTCTGGTTGCTCATGGAATTAATGCAAGTTCATTGTGCATGTATCTTATGAGAAAACCTTTACAATGTCATGGATATTCATTTAAGTCATCGAAGTGCTTTTATTGACTGTATATTGAGTCACTTATGAGTGCTGTTGGACTGCTTTTTCACCACAGGAGGGAATGAGAGGAAAAGGAATACGCAAGACATCTCTGTTGTTTTTTTCTAGTACTGCTGCGCTGTGTTAATTCACCTTCCATCATCTCAGTCGCAGCTTTTGTAAGCGCTAGTTCAGCATAACCAAGGCTCTTCAGAAATGAGGTAATGGTTGTGAGATCTGAATACTGATCTTGAGATCTCATGGGATAATGTGTCTACATAATTGTTGATTTTCAGCTTAGTCTGTCATGGGAAGTTCATGATGTTTTATATAAAATTCTAACAATATTTATTGCAATCATATTCTAGCAACTTGGGATCACAAATGGTTTATTATCTACATAGCTGGAGGAACATCTGCTGCTGTTTTACTGTTAGTTTTCCTACTCATTTTCCTCATCACCACTGCTTATCGCAAAAAGTGAGTAACAAGTCAATCTGCTTGATATAGAAGCATGAAGCTATTCAGGTGTTAAAAGCTCTTCTATGCTTATCAGAGGCTATAAAAAAATGTAGACTTGGATATTTAATTTTCTTGCTAAAATTTTAAACTTGAAAAAACTAATCAGTTAAGCAGGTTATGAAATAAGTTGCTTTATTTTTCCCAATACAAGAACAAACAAAAACAACAACAAAACAAACAAAAGATCTTACTCAAGTTCCTTAGCTAAATGCTTATTGTAATATTAACAGGTGATTAGTAAAGACTAACATAAGCTTATGTTGGACTGTTCCTATTTCGTGCATAGAGAGCACAAGTGACATCTTGAGGTTTTCTTACATCTTGCAGCTTTTTGTATCTACTGTGCGCTAAGTATACAGTAGTAGTCAGATCCAGAATTTCTGCTTCCAGTGGAAGGAAATATTGAGTAGAAAAAAATAAATATGTTTATTTCCCGTTCACATCACATGAAGCTTCTGGAATTTGCTGGCAATCTGTCATTGTTCTTGCCCCTGAACAGGAGCTCTTTTGATGTGTCTCCAGACCATTAGAAAAGAGTGCTAATCTCTTGCATGTTATGGTCTGCATTCAGAGGAAGGTGTATTGAATATTATTGATATCAATGGGCAAGTAAGTTACATCAGTGTTATCTCTTTTATGCTGGAATTAAATAAATATTGTAATACATGATGCAGTTCCTTCCATTCTGTTTCTAACTGAATGTGTGTCACCAGGAAGAAGAGGAAGAGAATCACAGAGGCCTTATTTAATGCTTTGTACTGTACTCAGGACGAGGTGAGATCAGCTGGAGTTCACTCATACTTTGTATTTTGCATATTTTTTAACTTCATCTCTTCTGTATATGATGTTTACATTCCCCAAGTTGCATAGTATGATCTTAAACTACAGTTGGAAAAAAAGAAATATTTCTGTTCATACATTTCCATTGTTCTTTTTTTCTTGATGAAACAATTGTATTTAAAGATTTCTTCCATGTAGCTCTTTTGGTTTGCAAGATTTGAACTATTTGATTATTGGCAATATTTATTTATTTTTTCCCTCAAGTTGCTAATTTCAAAATTGAGGCAAAAATCTCGCCAAAAAATGTATCCTGTCATACTATTTGTATTCACCTATTTCTAGTTCAGCTTCACTATAATTTGTTGGTATAACTGTTAAATTGCTTCTTTTTGTATTTTAAGAATCAGTCAACTATTTGGAGCTCTGTGACATTTTCCCCCTAATAATTCCATTCAAAGCCTGAGTAGAAAGACAAGATCCAACTTTTCTGCTTCTACCTTGTCTCTTTATACCCTGAGCCAAGGCATGAAGTAGCAATGTGCTCAGGAAAATGACCCACATAGTGGCTGCGACTCTGCCTTTCTATCTATTCCCCTAAGACAGCACTTGAGGAGATGTTCACTATAGATACAGACTTATAAAAAAGTCCTTTAACCTTCTGCCTCTTCTGTGTCTCTCATTCTGCCTCTTGGGTCAACATTCACATCAGAATAAAGCTCTTGCTAGGCTAATCATAGCCTAGAGACTTGCCAATTACCTTAGAAACCATCTTCTGAAAGCACGGCAAATTTGAAAACATGACAAGTAACAGAGGCACCACCACGTTAATGATTTGAGTAATTCACAGTATGGTCCATATCTTTACAGTAACTCACTTTTTAAGATTGATGTGAGTTACTATTTCAGTATGTAAAGTGTGTACATTAAGAGAATGAAGCATTCCAGTGATACTGATACTTTGATACTTTACCAGTAATGCAATATGACACAGCTGTGAAATATATACAAAGTACAACTTTGAACTGAATTTGAAAGTTATTCATGAAACACAGGAAGACAAAAACTACTTTCATGGTTGAGTATTTCCCAGTAACAAAACAGCATATGAGGAAAATTTGTTGGTTTTTTTTTTTTTTCAAAGTCATTGTCAGAAAAGTCTTTCAACTTTCCCTTTTTCTTTTTTAAATGTTCTAGGCTGGTAACAATTATGCAGAACACAATTATCACACCACATGGGACATAGAAAGAGGAAAAGAAGAGTCATCATTCAGGACAGCACAGGAGATTTACGTGAACTGCATAAACCTAAGAAATGATAATTAGCTTCTTTCTTGTGAATGAAGTAACCCGAGTTCAGACCATGTCATTGCATGTTGGACTTGATTTGTTTTGCACAGGTAGCTGCAGAAGGTTAAACTGGCTGCCAAGCATGGCCTACGCTGCCCTGTCCAGACAGCACAGGTACCCAAGCCAGTCAGGGTGCATCTGCATTATGAGACAGTCTGAAGCACTAACGCCCCCTTTGATTCATATGTACAAGTGAAGACTATTGGTACTTCTAAAATTTAAACATTTTTACCCAGTAGGTGCACTTTCAGGTAATAATCTCAGAACAACTATGCAGAGCAAAGCAGTATATGTTTAAATTACATTCATTTCATCGGAAGAAAAAATGTCTGAGAAGCCCGTGTGGCAAGGTGAGAAAGAAAGTGTGCTCAATGTTCTCTGTATTCATGACTTTCAAATCTTAAAATTGAGAGCATTATAGAATAAAAAAAATGTCCATGATTTTCCGCACAGGAGGTGTTATCACACTGTTGGGCAAACAGTATTATTCAGCTGGCAAAAGCAAATGTATCAGGGAAACTTGAAGTTAGATTTGAAAGCAGGAAGAGAAGCGTGCTGTCTGACAGTGATGTGGTTTACATGCTTCTTGCCACTCACGACAGCTATTCCAGTGCTCACTGCTTGTGATAAAGAATAGAAACACAGCCCCCAGCCAACATGTACTTTCACACGCATGCACACATTTTTTTTTCCTCTCTCTTGAATGCTCAGGAGAAAACAAAACATTAAGACTCTGTTACTGTCAAGTTATATTTAATAATAATTTATTATAAGGTTTAGTTGAACGAAAAATAAATGAGAACATGGAAGATACATGAATAAATGATGCAAAGCAGAAAAAGCACGATTGAGAACATTTACAAAACAATACACAGATGTGTTTGTATGTGTTGCATATGTATATTTTCTGCTAAAAACTACAAAACGAACCACACAGAAATTGAACAAACAGACAAAAATAAAAAAAATAAAAATTAAACAAACAGAACTAGAAGGCAGACCTGAGAATTAGGATCTACACATCTTTTGGCCTTTTACAAATCTGCCATATTACTGAAGGATGGAATCCCAGTAGATGATGTTACCATGAAAGCTGATAATTATACATGTCTGTATTCTACAAACTGTATGCCTGGCCCACCTATGCCTGATTCCCCTTTTCTCTTGTAGCATTACTAAAAGTGTGACTGAATATAACTTTTGTTTTGGAAAGGTTTTGTGGAAGGCATCATCAGTCTGCCTACAAAACAGTTGCCAGCTCAACTTGGCTGGCTAAGGAGCAACAGGCTGACAGTGAAAAGCAGAAGGTATGTGGCTTTCTCCAGTGAAAGCTTTCTTCACATGCAAAGGAAAACATGAATCTAGGTTCTTGAGTGGACACAAGACTACTTTGAACTATCTGTGTGATAATAGTATTGTACGGTTATCCTACACTTCAGCTAAAAATCTAAAAACGTAAGCCAGAGTCCTTCAACCTAGCATTGAAGACTCAGATTCTTTTACAATGTCAAACACCATTAGAAAACATCTCATTTTGGTTTTGTGTACTCCTGAACAAGGACACATACACATGACAAGGGATATATTTTTCCTTTCACTTCTTGAAGGTAATCAGATATATAAATGCTTGCATGTGCAACTGATGAGGATACACAGAACTGTACTATTAATAAGTTGGTTTATTTCCTGAGTTATCATATGTCATAGCAGATAATTCTAAGTTGTGCACAGCATTACAAATAAAACCCTGTACCACTGGATCATTTCTTTGATGATTCCATTTATATTAAAATGCCAAAATGGTGATGCAATGAATTGGATTACATTGAAGATCTCAGTTGGAATCCTGATACAGAAATATCCATAGCCGAGAAGTTGCTATTGATTCACTGTTTGTAGAGACTCTAATCACATCCCTACTTCTCTGAAGACAGAAAAGGGGACAGGTTAAGTATCTGTGATACCAGATTGCTTTTATTATATCTGATAATGCCCCTATTTGTTGCTTCCCTTGGTGCTTTTAGCTTGTCTGCATGCATTTTTTTTTTTTTTTGAAAGAATTGCTTGTTTTTGAGATTTAAGGAAGAAAAAAAAAAAAATCTGTAGTGCACATCTTTGCAGATATTTAATCTAGTTTAATTCAAATTCCATAAACATAATACTTCTATCAAGATAGTCCACAGGGAAAATCACATTACACATAACATAAGAACAGTATTTTTTTTTCCTCATAAAGCAAACTCAAAGCAACAGTTTCATTTTTGTATCATTGTAATATCAGTGAACAGCAGCTGAACATGAGACGGATACAAATAAAAAAGAGAAAACAATTCATACCTCATCATTATTCTCTGTGGTTTAAAAAAAAGTGAGTTATGCACAAGAAAAATGTCCAAAAGTGTCAATAGAAATGAGATATTAAATATCTTTAAATGCTTTATGAGTCCAGGAGGATAGGACCTAGCAAGAGCCTGTTTGCTGTGAATGAGTGTGGATTAAGTAAGTAGGCTGTCCTCTGCAGAATAATAAAATCTATTGTTAATTTGTGTTTAAATCCAAAATTTCCTATAGATTTGCCTTTTTCTTTTGGAAACTGTTACTTTTTTGGGGGGTAAAATTGATCAACTGTAACTTGGAAATTTCATCCTGAACAGTTACTGTGCTATTTAATCCTGTATTACTTGCTTGAATAGTTGAAAGAGAGAAAAAAAAAAAAAAAAAAAAAAAAAAATCAAGGAAGAAACATAGCATTCTGAGCTATCTGATGTCCATGGACATGCCATCTCAACTGTCTTATTTGTTGTTTTAAAGCCTTAGAAAGTCTACATAAAGGAAATGAAGATAGTAAAGCATTTTTCCATTAAAGAGTGTCTTGAGTCAGTGGATAACTACTTTCTGTGCAACAGGAAAATGAACCTATGACATTTTAAGAAAAGAAGAACTAGGCTTCTTTTCCATAATGATAAAGATTCACATTTTGCAATCATGGTTTATGCTGGGTGAAAAGGCAGCTGTTTAAGCCTCATGTACAAAAGAAAAATCAATTTTCGTTACTTCTAGTACCTTTTAGATTAATAGAAATACAAAGTCTTTAAGGAGCTTAAACTCATATCATTTTTTAAAAAAAGAAATCAGAGAAAAAGAAAACATTTCAATTCTGTCTCTAAAACAAAACAGTCTGAAGTAGACATTTATTATTTTATTTATTTTAAGACAGGCAGTCACCAGACTTTGGATCAATGGAGAGAATACTAAACCCACTGTCTATGAAAGATGGCGCAAGTTAGAACAGTAAATTACATCACATCACCTCTTGTTACCATATCTTCCTTTCTTTATCTCAAATATGTCCCTATACCTTGAAGAGCTTCCCTAACCCTGTAAAATATTCGTGACAGTGACTGTTCTGCTTGTCTTTTCATCTTCCTTGGCTGTGCATCTTCAGGTTAAATGCACCAGTTAGGAAGCAGTTTGCTACAAGGGCTGGATCCAATGAGGAATGGGAGAACATCGTACAAACTCCACTTCAAGAAGAGTAGTCTAACACTTTATCCTCTATCCAATCCCACCTGCCCTAAGTTTCCAGGCACCTTTTCCACGAGGCTCCTTAAGTTTTGTAGTGACTGCTAGAAATAATTAGTTTTAACAAATGTGCTACACTAGCAAACCAACCACCTGCTCTTTGGATCTTGGTTTGATTTCAAAGGACTGATCTCAGCATCAGATTGATTTTGTGTGTGTGTGGAACCATAAAGACCTTTGGGATTCAGGGCTCTGTTTATTTTCTTTTTTATCTACATATCATGTCCCTCTAAACCTTCTGTGTCACTGAGCTATGTAGAAGTTCAAATCAATGATACTTATTTACACCACCTAACCCTGCCTCAGTGAGTACTCCCCAGCACAAGTGGAAGAAGGCTTATTTCCTTTAAAGTCCAAATGCTCAATAGAAGTTAATCCTCTAAACAGCTCTGTACGTCTGATACTAAGGGTTAGTTCCAAATCCTGCCTGCAAGATAGGCTGGAGACTCCGGAAGCAGAAACTACACACCAGGTTCACAGACTGCTTTACTTAATGTGAAAGTACAGCAGTTCAACAGACATTTCAAATGCTCACACATTCCCGAGGAACTGGTCTAGAGCACAGAACTACTGAGAACAAGATGTGTCTCCACGGGTATGCCATGCTGGCATGAGATGTCAAAGGGAAAGTGGTCACCCTGACCCCCACATGTACTCTGACATCTAGTATGAATGGTCACACTCTGAGTCTACAGACACAGTGGTCTTCAAAACACTAAGACTGATTGGGCTTTTCACTGGTAAATGACATCCCAGATGTTTCTGTCATAGTTGTTTCATACACACCGAATCAGCCAGGGAATGAAAGACCTTAGCTAAGTTCCTGCTCTAGGCTGCAGTAGACACATCCCATCCTACTCTCCCACTTGAAGCTGGGCTCCTGTACTGAAACAACTCATGCTTTAAAGACTAAGAAGAGCCTGGAGCGGGCTCACAGGACTTAGTAGGGTGCTCCTCCAGCAAGAACATTCTCATTTTTGCTTTCTCCCATAATGCTTTTTTTTTTCCTCTGCTCTAGTCCTTCCTTACAGAATAATGACTGATGAGAAAAGGGTGAGAATGTGGATAGCATAGGACAAATACATAGGAAGTCTGTGAACACATCCTTTGAAATAAGAGAGCCTCAGGTTTATCAAGATACCATCAGCTATGTGAGGCTGAGAGGCTGCTGGAGCAGAATGTGTCTGCTCTAATGAATTACAAAGGAGGAGTTTTACCTTACTGCCTGTGCCTGGGATATAAGAGTCGAGCTGGAAACTACAAAGGAAATATAGAAATTTATAGAAAGTTTCAAAAAACTAGTATTTATTAGCTCCACATCAACACTGTTAGCCAATTAGATAAAATAAGTAAAATAAATTTCTAGCACCGTCCGACATTTTTCTTCTAATTTTATGCTTACTTAAAACAATTATGTAGTTTTAGAAATGGTGATTTTGATGGAGATTTATCACTTTTCTTAACAGTTTACTTAATTACAATGTTACAGTAAGTAAATATTGATCTTATAAGCAGTAAGTTTTCTAACATGATTTAAATGATGAACAGCTTATCACACTAAGAAACAGTCATATAAATAATATAAATGCACAGTATCTTTTCCTTTTTATCTTTCTCTGAAAAAAACAAACTGTCTGAAGCAGATATCTATCAGTTCATTCTAAATTTCCGTAACTTCCACAGAAATCAAATTAAGGGAGGACTTTTCCCACAGAACTTTGTTGAATTATAATTGGAAACATAAATGGGAACACCCATGTACATATTTTTAGGCATGCTAAATGCAAACACTGCTGCTATTATTGCAAATCTGATCAGCTCTCAAATACTCTTAAGTCATATTTTTAGCAATATCTGCCTGCAGAATTGTATACTAACAATTATGATGCATTGTGCATATCTTTCACTAGCACTAGATTACATAATGCACTTTATCTGGGCTCTTGGCTCTTCCAGTCCTGTTAGGAAAATGAATTGAGCGCTTCTAAGCCTGTTGCTTAGAGCATCATAGAGCTGTGAGTTGCATTAAACACAAAATATTGTTCCCAGCTTTGATAAAACCAAAACTTGAATGATCTGGAAAGCTGTACTGCACTCAACATGGCCCACTGCTATGTGCTGAAATTCTACTAAATTCTCCCAGTCTTTTTAAAGGTTTCAGCTTTGTTTTTAATTATTACTTTTTTTTTTTTATCTTATTCCTATAATTTTCATTAGATTTTAGACCTGCCTTTCTAAAATAGTGTTTTTCAAAGAAAGAGAAAACCCTCAAAGAAGTGAAAGAGAGTGAGCATATTTGAGTAGAAAATCACATTTCTTCTGTGTTGTCTGAT